AATCTTAGGGTGATGAGGGACCGTAAACTCGCTTTTATTCCCCATATTTTAAAATGAACAAGGGAAAATTGAACATTTGAGTACTGTTATGTCACCAGTTTAGTATGTCACCGACCTAAAAATTAAATTAAATTATTCTTTTTATGAAAGGTCTTGGTTGAGATGAAAAAGCTAGTGTCACGAGCGGGATTGTTTTTTTCATCTCAACCAAGACCTTACATAAAAAGAATAATTTAATTTAAATTTTGACGCTTTGCAGCTTGCTTCAATTTTGCACCAAAGAGTCTTTTTTTGTTTACATTCAATATTTTTTAATAGAACTTTTAATATTTATGATGATTTGATGGCTTTTTTTTGACCGTTTGTAACTGAAAATTAAATGTTTAACAATTAAATGTTTTTTCATTGTTGCCGTACAGATTTTAAATATTCAATTTAATACATTTATATTTAGTGGTCTAATTGACAATATTAAATTATTTCAATTCATGATTCTTTTTATGTAAGTTCTGGGTTGAGATGAAAAAGCTAGTGTCACGAATGGGATTCGAACCCACGACCTTCGGATCAATACGCCGCTGCTCTAACCACTTGAGCTGAGCTCAGAAGTCACAATAGTGCAAATGGTTACAGCAGAGGCGTATTGAGCCGAAGGTCGTGGGTTCGAATCCCGCTCGTGACACTCACTTTTTTATCTCAACCAAGACCTTACATAAAAAGAATCATGAATTGAAATAATTTAATATTGTCAATTAGACCACTAAATATAAATGGATTAAATTAAATATTTAAAATCTGTATGTCAACAATGAAAATTTTTTAATGCATTTTATTCATTAAAACTGGTGTTTAAATAATCACTTTGGATTTTACAATTTAGTAATAAATACGCTTTAGTCCACTCATTAGTGTCATATCTAGTTCATTTAACTTCGTAACGTTTTATAAAACCAACTAAAATCGTCATCTTCAGTCGTCTTACGATGCGCTATGTAGATGTTGACGATAGTGATTATAAGCATACAGTGTGATCACAGTTGCATCTTGTCCTTTTCCTTGTGTGAAATGCCTATCCCACGCTAAATTTCAAGCCCACTACAAAAAAAATTCGTATTCACATTCGGTTCATTATGAAACGCTTAAAACGATGACAACACATAATGGTAACAGATTGAGCCAGAATAGACTGGCCATGCTTAAATGCTAAAAATGAAGAATGCATTAACGACCTTCGAGCCTTTTGACGAAATTAGCCTGATCATTTCGACTAAGGATCGATGAGTACAGAAAAAAATCAGTAAGGAAGGAGTGTGGGTCTTCAAGATTTGTAAGGAATCGCCCAATATGAATCGATTAATCCACTTTTAAACAGATATTTAACCCGTAGACAAAGAAGATATAGTTATTATTGTCTATGCTTACTACTTTCACTTGAAACAAAGATTATCTCAGATTATCTAAAGAAAGGATGATGGAACGCGTCGAAGAATACCTGCAGACTCTGTGGGGAAGAGTGAGAAAGTCTCTCACGTTATTTTTAATGGGGCCACAACTAGGTGGAGGCACGAGACATGTGCACAATCCTAATCCGAATTCCTTATAGTGTGAATCAGTAAACCACATTAGATCAGATTTTGCTTGCAAATACATTAAGTTTGGTCAAAAATTAAGAAAAAACAAATTAAATAAATAATATAATAGAATTTGTATAGGCGACAGGAGCACAACCATTTAAGGAAACGGCCTTCTTTTGGCTTAAAAGCTGGGAAGACGGTTTCACAATAGTTTACACAAGCTCTAAGCCGGCCTTCGTTTTCACATTTACACAAAAAAAGATATAAATGTCCAAAATTTAAACATTTTTATTGTAATTTATCTCTGGTTTATTGCAACACCTTTGAATGTTTTACTAATTTATAAATTATTTTATATAAATTAAAAATTCATATTCATAATGTATATTATGATGTAGATTTCAAATCTTTTGTGCATTAAGTTTAAGTTCGATTCTTTCCTACAAAAAGACGTTGGTTAAAATTAATCTTTACGAAAAAACGAAACGCTACAATCTAAACATCATTTCTCATTTACAAATCATTTCCATTTGAAATTACTACAATAGGGGACAGGACGTACAGTAGTTTAGCACATGTGCCAGTTCCTCTAAATTATTCAATCTCCCTCCTACTATTTGTTGTCTCGCTCACTCCCTCTCTAGCGTCAACGGCTCGTTATCTCGACTCTCACTCTTCTTCATAATCGTACAAAAGTTGTTTGGATCAGTCGCTACGTCCTTCCGACCCTATCAGTTTGTTAGTCACAGCTCCGACGCCCGTTCAAGAAATTTTACAAGTGTTTCTATCAATAGAATATGACTGGGTACGCGAAAATTCGAAACCTTGCGGATCCGTGAAGTCCTGTATTCAAGGTAAATTTAATGAGTTGAGACAATTTTTTTTTAACAAAGATATTGTTCGAAAAATAGGATATTGGAAAAAAAAATTTTTGTAAATAAATCACATTTTTTCTCTATTAACTGTAGTTTTTGCCAGCAGGTGCTAATTTAATGCGCAACCTAGCTACAGAATATCTGAAGATAAAACTTGTGTGTAAATTTTTTTTCAAAAACTATCCTCTCTATTTTAATGAAAACTTAACATAAAACAAAACTTCGCGGGCCTGCATAAACACACATATACACACACATACACACACACAAAACACGAATGGTTTCCAATTTACTGATCTTTATTATAAATGTACAACTTATGTTAATTATGCCGAACGAACTTCGACGAACGAATTCGACAGTTTTTCAAACCACTCATATATGTTGTATATTTATATATTTTAAATGTTTAATAATTTGTATCATAGCTAATTTTAAAAATAGAGGAATGAATTGCACATATATAAGTTTCAGAATTGTTTAGCATGATTTATTTCCATTTATGTACAGATCCTCTTTCTACCTCACTCTACTGTTTTTTCTCATTACGGTGTCTTCTTTCTCTCTCACTTCCGCACGCTTTCCTTCACACTCTCNCTCTCTCTCTCTCTCTCTCCCTCTCTCCCTCCCTCCCTCCCTCCCTCTCTCTCTCTCCCTCCCTCTCCCTCTCTCTCTATCTCTCTATCTAGCTATCTATCTATCTCTCCATCTCTCCCTGTCTCTCTATCTCTCTATCTAGCTATCTATCTCTCCATCTTTCTCTCTCTATCTCTCTCTCTCCCTCCCTCTCTCTCTCTATCTCTCTATCTATCTATCTAGCTAGCTATCTATCTCTCGCTCTCTCACTCTCTCTCTCTCTCTCTCTCGTCTTTCTCTTATCTTGTTTTTTCTGTTATACGTTATTTGTACAGAGTGGAAATTTTTTTTCGAATTCGATTTGTTGAAACACTGAGACAACTGTTTAAGTAGTTTTGAATAATTATCATTCTCCTAGTTCTGGATTAACAAATCAAACTATATTTACTACATATTTATATCACGGAGACACGATACTGCACTTTAAACTTTATTTTGAACACTCCTCGCATTAACATTTTCCAATTCTATTCATATATTTATATTTAATACAATCTATATTGCACACACTAATATAATTTGTTGTTCCAAATAGGTAATTTTTCAATGAGCACTTTTGTTTCGTTTAAACGTTTTTTTTTCATTATTTTAACTTTTTAGATAAAATAATATGCTCTATTTATATTATTTCGATAATTCGAGTTTTATTAATAATAAACTAGTTTTTTTAATAACAAAAATAATATCCAAGTTAATTTAAACTTACTATTGAAATACTAATTTACGTATATAATATTGACAGTTAAATTAGGTGGATTTTTATTTTTGTAGTGCTCTTCCAGTTAACAAAAGTTAATCCAGTTCCTGATAACACATTACATAAAATAACAGTATGAATGGACAAAGCATTGGAGCAAAAAGAATTCACGTCCGCTAATTGAGGAAATAGAAACCTCTACGTGCAGGGCACACAGAAATTCGTTTGTTAGTGCAGCTAAAGTTAATCTATTACGACATAAGTCCATAACTTAGTTTACACCCTTAAATGTTAGTTTTTCTTCACATTTGCTTTTATTTTTAATTGTGAAGCTTTGTTGTTGTGAATGAGTTGCTTTAAAAATGTACATCACATTTTTGCTTTCATATAGAACTGTTTTTATTTTAAATAAAAATAGAAATTCGTTCCCTTCGGTTGTTTTGAATTAGTTTAACCGACTTAACCTGTGCTTAAGTATTAAAAAGAATTGTGTGTTTCTTAGTGACCTGTTGTTTCATAATTTGGAATTTATTAATTTTGTATTGGAACAGGTGTAATTTTCCCAATGTTGGTTCTAGCTTAGTGTCAAAACAAGCCTTTCATGTTCACTATGGCTAGCAATTCCTAATAATAATAAATTTATGTTGGAGTTTTCAAATATAAACAGCCCAAAACACGTGGACAGTGTAAATCGTCGAGTCCGGTTTCATTAAGCTCATTTAAATTTTGGAAAATAAAAATTTCTTTTCAGAGGATTTTGTTCGTGATATAGTGTCTTGGGCAACGGATCTTTTTGTACGTTTCTCAAACAATGTTATACAAAACGTCAGTAATCATAGATTTTTTTTTTGGTCAATTGTGGTCAATCGTTTCTTTTAAGAGAAACACTTACTTTTATATTGAATAATATCAAAATAACAAATTAACAGACAGTATTTAAGGTTTTTAACAAGTAGCACTCGTTTTTTTGATAGTGAAGCATGTTTAGAAATAGATAATTTTTTATCCAAAACTATTTTTGAGTATTGAACGAGATTTTTTCCCGATAACACCTACTTTATTCACACTTTGTCAAACCTGGCCTCTCTACTTAATAATTCTAACATGTTACAGCCGACATTTTTTAGTACTTTAAACGTTGAAAACATTGTTTGTAATGTTCAAAATTGAAAAAAAAATCAATATTGAAATAATTCACTTTGTTCTTTCGTGTTCCAGATGGATAAAGGGGGAAAAGGAGCAGTTACAAGAGGACAGGCGACTAGGTTTGGCTTTAAAAGACCACCTCTTTGTCCAAGCCCATCTTTACCACCAACAGCCCCTCCAGCACTTCCTTCAGTTCCTGCAGCACAAGTTACTAGAGAAACAATTGAGCCAATTAAATTGACATCTGTTCAACTAAGAAATGGTACTAGTGAAAATTCAATTTTCTTTATGAATAATAAAATTAAAATGTGACTCCTTAGGTACGCCTAAGCTCGGAAGGAGTAAAAAAGACACAGGCAAAGCTGCTAACAGGTTTGGCTTCGTCCCTCCACCTTCGCTCTCAAATAAAGTGTCTGATCTCAAGCAAGAAGGCCAGTCAGGGCATGCTAAAAACACTATCTCCTCTTCTGCACTCAAAGTAATTAAACTTATACTTTAACAATGAAGGGAAAATAACTTTTTTGTTTGATTTTTATAGTTAAGTGCAAGGAGTCGTTCAGAAACAAGATACAATAAACCAAGCCAAAAAAATAATTCAAGCAACTTGAGCAACTGTAATAGTGTAGCAAATTCAAACACCAGTATCAATTCTGATATAGGAAGGGGACCTTCAGATAGTCAAGCAAGCTATAAGCATCAGGCAACTGCAAGGATACCAACATCAGCCAATTATAGTTCTTCCTATGGATCCACTGCTGCTGATAAAAGGGCAAAAACAGTTGCAAACAACCAGACTGCGCGTACCTCGCAGATAGTAATAAAATATTAATCAGACACTAATTTGAACTCTATTATGATTTTATTTTTATTTTAGAATGACCAAAAGGTGAACAGGAATAACTCAGTGCTGGAAATTCAACAGCTAGAACACAGTCCAAGTCTTGGACATAAATTCAGACATGCCCATACAAAACCAGCGACAAATAACCAGGTTAATGTCTGAATTCATTGTACTTGAAATTTTATTTATAGTTTCTGAACTTTATCACCATGAATTATCAATTCTTTTGTACAGATATTAAAATATAGATAGTTTTTTTTGTTTTGCAGAAAGCCAGACCAATGGAGATGGTATTCAATCCAGCACCTGGGAAAAGGTTTGACTTAAGGGACCTTATTCCCATTCAGACAGTGGACAGAAATGAGAGGGTTGAGGCAGAAGCCAGTCCGCCTCAAGGGACTAGACACGAAGGTCAACATTCCCTTATTGCCGAGAGGATAAGACGTGAAGTAGTTCTTACACCACCCACCCTTGAAACTAACGAAGACGACAAACAAGGCGAAGAGAAACAAAGAAGGTTAGAAAATACCAAACAAAAATACATTTTCTATTCTAAATCACATTCTGAAAGCAGGGATAAAAAAGCAAGTGAGAAGATTCATCAGAGTAGTGGAGAGGAGAGCACGGGCGAGGAGGAACTTTGGGCAGGGCCTGGAGAAGCCATGGCAATGGATGAGTCTATGGTTTGTTCTGCTATATCTGAACTTGATCACTCACCTGGTAAATAAAAAAACATTAACAAAAATAAGATTACAATAAAAATTTACTTGTTTTCTTTAGAAACAATGAATCAACCATTGAGATCTGTTCTTCTAAGGATAGAAGACCCAACATTTGCTACACTAGCAGCATTCTCAAATTCAGGAATGCTGGAAGATGAAACCTCTCCAGAATCCCCTGATATAAGCTGCAGTTCCCCAAGTTCAGTCGAACCTCTTCCTCCTCCACCCCAAAACCTCAGTAAACCAGGTATTAATAAATAGTTATCATTAAAGGGACAAAGATGTCAACCATTTAGAGATTTATATATAAATTGGATCAATTTTTCAGTTGAATAGATTTTTTTTCTTTTAACAGCAATAATGTTTTAGGCACCCCAGATACACCTGGCAGTCCAACTCATGGGACAAATTCTTTAAGTTCTGATACCAAAGAGAGAGATTTTCTCATTGATGATGAAATTGCTGACCAGCCTGGATTGGTCTTTGACTCTGCTATCAGGGAGGAACCATCAATCCTTGATACGTCAAGAACAAGTAATTAATTTAAAAAAAAAAATGTTTCAACTTATCAACTTAAATAACTTAACACTGGTCAATTTTCAGTTGCAAAAATAGCAGGAGAAGTTTCACAAGTTTTAGCATCAGTGGATCAGAATGGAGGATTGGATCATTTGAACAGGCTAAACAAGCAGCACGGAAGCACAAATTCTGTCGGGACTCTTTCACCTTGTGAAAGCCTTGCAAGTGATGATTTGATGGCTGATTTCGATAAAAGTGATGTCTCAGCATTTGACGAGTTAGTATTAAATGACAGATTTTTTTTTTTAATAAAAAAATTGTTAACTTGATTTTTCTTCCTGTATAGCGTAAATCATTCGAGTGAATCACCGTTAAAATCAGAAATTCTGAATAGAAGTGATCAAGTTATTAAGGAATGGAATGCATTGCTACACTCTCATCCAGGGTGAGTCCTTTCCACCCTGATACTTTTTTTTTCTTTTTCTTTTTTTTTGTAGATTACCTCTTCTACTTTTTTTCAGTTTCTTCTTTTGTATATAAATTGTATCATATAAATGGTATTAAATATTTATTAGAATATTTCATTTCTTTCATTAACTACTTACTTTGCACATAGTAATTTGCTTCATCCAATACACAAATCCTCTCAATTATTTTCCTTCAAAGCTTGCACTTTTCATTTTAGACAATAGAATTGGTGACATCTGAGGTAATGAATCAGTAGCTAAACTGTATCAGGTCATCCTGGTTTGTCTATTTTTCCATATTCTGTGGCTGATCTGTTCCTCTGTGGTACATAGTTATCATAAAAGAACAAGATGGTCATAATGACAAACAGACCAGTAAAGATGATAAAATGTCAAAACACAACTGAAAGACAAAATAATGATAAAGTTAAAATTAGAATTTGTTTTATACTTCTAAGTAAAACCAGTTGACAATGGAGGTGTAAAATACTATTTCCTTAGACAGAAAAATGTAGATATAAGAAATATAAACCTATTATATACAGTCTGGTAATAAATTTATAATTAATAATTTATTAGATAGATTTAACATATATTGATTGTTTATGGGTAGACAGCTAGAGTCGTTGCTGAACTTTTGTGTTTTTTATGCATCTTTTCTACGCACTCCAGCCCCTCAACTCAACCTGGCCGATTAATCTCTTATGTGTAAAATTAACTAACTTGGTACATAAGGTTGTTAGTAGAATAAGTAACCAACATAACAGAGAGTGACATATCCAACGTTCTGCCTAGTAATTTGACAGTTTATAGTTACTATAAATTTTAATAATTTTAATTTATCATTTAAGTTTTATTTTTAACCATTTCTATAGATTATTGCAATTTGTAGGAGTTTTAATTTATATAATATATTTTTATAACAATATTATTCTGGGAAACATGTGGTGAGTTATGCGAGGAGATCAACATGATTGTCCCTGATCATCCTAGTTTGCTTAGCCTCAAGGTTTTGTGTTCTTTAGTTATGTATACACATCATTAAATATATTATGATTATATTGAAAGAATGACCAGAAAAGAGTGATTTGAAATTATTAATTATTCAGAAATCATGAGATGCGGTCTGGTGTGATGTAGGTTTCAGAAAAACATTTTCTTTATCGTCCCAATGTTTCGATCTTTATTGAGATCATCTTCAGGGCCTGGGATTTACAAACATTGTTTACAATTAACAAATACATTTAGGATGTGGAAAAGTGAATTTATACAATGCAAAATATATTTTTTATATTCAATCAAAGTATTTCTACTCACTCAAAGTGTTTGTCTTCGGTGTAATTGTGCCATTTTTGCGTGTCGTGTTGAGAGTGCCAGTGAGATTTTGCTGTATTATGTTTATATACGTTGGATTTTGAAATTATTAAGTTACACATTATTGTTAAATCATTTGAAAAATAATATATTAACCAACAAAGTTTTTTTATTTTTTATTTAAAGTGATAGATGTATCAACCACTTGTTTTATCACGAATAATCTGGATCAAAAAACAAATTCTATTTTTATCTGCCACTTTTTCGACCTATTTTAAGGTCTTCATCAGAGTAAAACAATCGAAAAGATGTCAACAAATTGATATAATTAAGAGCGGAGGGTTTCAAATTTCTTTAAAAACAGGCTCAGTTGGTTGGGACCGAGTTGGTCTTCAAAAAATTTAAAATTATTTCCTAAATCTCAATTATATCGTTAAGAAATTTTTCATTTAAAAAAAATGTGTATAATTAATTGATTAATTATATAAGTTCGATTGTTTTGCCCTTATGATGACTATGAAATAAGTTGAAAGCTTGGCAGATAATTGAATTTGGTTTTTTCTTCCAGACCGTACTGAATTCGAGATTATTCGTTTGTTTTTAATCTTTTTTTTTTTCAATACTAACACTGCCATAGGAAAAAACTTTATAAATAAATAATCTAATTAGTAAAGCGATTATACAAGGCAGTTTAAAATGGCGGATGACAGTTTCGTGGCATCATCATGTCTCTTATTAAGAAAAGATATCTCATTTAAAAGACCGAAGTGAAAAATATAAAACAAAAATATATATCATGAATGTTATAAGCTTACAGTACTCAAACGAAGTTACATTTTTTTAAAACGAACTGAATCAGAAAGAGTTTATGAGCCGTAACGTCCCGAATTGGATTTTCCAATCGACAAAGCAATGGCGGGGATGGCTTCCGATTGATAAGTTCTTTCAAGTAATGGCAAATTTCCGTTTTTGTTTATAAATACCATATTTTAAACAACCAAGTTTTCGCTTTGCTAATTGAAAAAGAACTTAGTATAAGTTTAGGAAATATTAATTGAGTGATATTAGGATTTAGTTCCGCTCTCGAAGCCCACCTCCTTTCTTTTAACGCATGACGAGAATAGAGGAAGAAAGTGAATATAACGTGTATCCTTTTTCATTCATCCGGCGGTCTTACGAAATGGGAGAAAGTGTAGAAGAAAAACTAAAGACATATTTTTCCTTTGTAATACGGCCGTCAAAAGATATCTTTGCACTGAAACGTGCTTGCTTTGAGAAATATCGACGGTCGGCATTCAGAAAGATTTCATTTTTAAATTATAAATACTCTCGTTTAAATTTTACCTCTGATCAAAGTCTCATATTATGGTAGTTCTTGTTAAAAATAAACTATAAAACCTTTTCCGGGCAGGTTGTCTGAAGATTAGTTTCATGAAGGGAGATAAATAACAGTGAAGCATGAAAAATGATTGATTTAATAGGTTTTTAAACAATTTTATATATGTGTAGAGATTAGTGACCGTTAATCGATAATTATTCAGATATCGTGACCGCATCTCACGATATCTGAATAAATTTTATATATATTGAGAAATATATTTTTATTTTTTAAGCATTTATTGAAGATCCAAGTATTAAAATGTATTTTGCATTCTTATTTATAGACTCCTATTATCAAAGCACTATTGCTTATTTAAAATACATCTCCCAGTTTATATTTAGTAATATTTACTGCAATTTTTTTAATAGAAATTTATAATGTAAACGTTTTATATTCGAAATAAAATTAAAAATTGATATTGCAAAAATTGTAGAGAATTCCTCATGAGCCAGGTTTCTGTTGGTACTGTTATTCTTGTAGTTACTCATTCCCCCCCTTTTCAGAGTCGACTTTCGGTTTCAGTCACAGTGAACGCACAGGATCAAAGATTCACCTTCACAGTTCAAAGACTCGTTGAACGGCAGAGTGGAAACGAACCGTTGTACTACTAGCTGGGAAAAATTGACGTTTCAAAAATGCCTCTTTCCGGGTGTAGATCAAAAGAAAAAGGAGGACGCGTTTGATATTTTCTCATTTGCATGTGTTTATTTTCTTCTTTATTATATTAAATTCAGTGTATTAAAGAAAAATCATTCAGCGATGAGAGAATCTCGAGCTACTTCGTACATGCATGGGTAAGGTGACATAAATGCTAAATTGTCGAGAGTCGATGAACGATTGGTTCAAATAGCGCTCAGGGATTCTTCTTAAGACTTCTTGAGGACTGTTTGACTCTATTCGGTAAAATTTTACCGCCCAGATGGTAATGACGATTCCTTATGTGGTCTGCAATATGAAATTGCGAAATACTGATCACCTCATAGCCTCGTTTTTCAAATACGGGATTTCTTTCTAAGTTGCACGTTTTAAAATCTCAATAAAAATGGATCACTTTTTTTACTTCGATATTTCTGTATATTAGCCGCAGTTTATATATAACTGTATATTTAAACAATCAAAATTATTTTTACTTTTTTAAAAACACATTTCATCATGAATATTATGTTTTCGCGAGTTTGTGTTGGGCAAAGAACTGGTTCATATCTAACAACTACTCCTTTTTCTAATTTTTTTCCTTATGATTTCCATTAAATAAAATATTGAGTGTGCCCTACTGTTAATAAAGCGTTTGTTAATAATTTATACTAACGAGTTTTAAAAACTCAAAACCCCAAAAAATTGATGAAATAATGGTGTCGATATTTAACAGTTACCTCAATCAATTTATTATTTATTTCAGTTTACTTATAAATAAATAAATTTCTCTCTAATAAATAATAAATAAATAAATTACTCTGGTCTTCCTTCATAATGAATAAATCTTTCGCATTTTATAAATAAATAAATTTCAATGAAAAAAACAATAAATGAAACATATATTATTACATCATGTGATTTTTTAAAGTTTTATATAATTAATAATTACTACTATGGGATATAATAAATCATAATTGTGAATGAAAATCCTCCATAAAAATTTTGAAATCTATATTGAACTAGACTATTAACTTATTGCTTACTATTACACTTAAGAACAATTTAAAAAAATTTATTAATTCAAAGTTTGGATTTCTGTCTTTCTAACATTGATTAACAAAAACTGAATCATGATAATTCAATAACAATGCAAATGCAGGACTAATTTAAAAAAATGAAAAGCTGGATTTATTTTCAGGCACTTTATACTTTTGCATGCTATGAAACTTCTAGGTCATTTCTGACGGTTCTGAACAATTCTATTTATTATTATACAAATGATTTATATGCGGTAAATATTTTTCAAATTCGTGATTATTTTAAAAAACTTTTCTCTCGCTAAATGCACATTATTATACAACCCCACTTTTGGAATGGTTAGGACATTAATTATAGATAGATAGATAGATAGATAGATAGATATACTTTATTTACAAAATGAAAAAATTTAAAGTTAAAAATAAAAAACAGTATTATTATGGCATGGTATTAAAACCGTCAGCCAGCATTAATTATACTGTATTTGCTATTTGTAAAAAAATTACAAATGAAATGTTTGGAGTTATTAAATTAATTAGTTATTGAGGGAGGATTGCAGCACATTTCACAAGGTCTTCGCGACTTCTTTACTTCTTTTTTTGTTAATTTAATCTTTTGTGTCATTTCTACCAGATTAGAAATATATTGTCAATATAATTTATCTCTGCAGATATTTTACAAAAAACCTTATGGTCACTCTTTTCAGGCTTAATGGAATACGTACTTCCTCAAAGCCCACCAAAACAAGGCTACGTAGTTCCGCGAGTGGAACTGGGGAGGTGAAGCCGAAATCAAATGTGTCGAGTCCACATAAGACCAAACAACAGGTAAAATATAGCTTAAAACAAAACTCTAACTATTTCTTAAACAAAGTATTAATTTTAAAATAATGTTTTGTCTAGCAGGTTGTTCGCCTAGCCGGTGATGATGCATCAGATGATTCTGGAATAAAAGTAAACGGCTTTTCTGTTCAACACCTAGCGCAAGATGTCTCTTACATCAAATCAATGCTTCTCAGACTCCAAAGGGTGCTCCAAGAGGTATTTTAAACATTTAATAAACATATCACTTTTTTTTCATTGCAAATTTTTTGATAGAACTTAACAATTATGAAAAATAGTAGGCATTTATCTTGAACAAAAATCCTAATAAATCGAACATTTGTTCACTTTAGCCTGAAAATCAAGGACTTTATGAAAATGGCTTAATGGTGAGTCTTAATTTTTTCTTTCTTTCTCTTGTTCTGAATGATTCCATCTTCAAAATGTTCATTTCATTGCTGCTCAGGAAATCTTGGAAAGCCCTCAGGGAGGAATTCCTTCAGTACAGCCAGCAGGTGAGCCGTTGGAGGTTCGAGATTTACGTAGACAGGTACCTAACAATCCAACATCCAATCCCAAAATTTTTATTCGTTGTCGTTATGTTTTGCTTTAGTTTATTTGATTTAGTTTTAGTTTTCTCATAAAACCAAAATACCCACATTACACCATTATGGTTTTATTTATTTCACTTTATCTTTTGTTTAACTGCTGACTGTTTATAGATGTTCAACAATTAAACTATTTTACATTAGACAAATAAACCAGACAGTAAAAAATTTAAACTAACAATACATTTGATTTTGTTTTAAATTTCCAAATAGAACTTAGGAAAATAAGAAAGTTAAATGCTCAAATAATTGAATAATTATAAGCCAGGTCAATTATATCATTGATTTTGTTACTTATTTATTTTTGCTTATCAATTTAGTTGTATACTAAATGTTTCAATTTTAACCAACAAACTGACAGCATATATTTTCTAACAACTTGGACAATTTTTTTGTATACTTTTTTTTCATTTTCATGCACCTAGCCTATGTCCTTCATTTATCTTCATATCCTTCGCCTTTAAGAGACAGGACATCTCATTTCATCATCTTCAGCTCATAGACTTAACAGTGTTAATCTAATGTTATCTACAGTTATTTTTGTTGTTTAAAAGAATTTTCATTATGTGACTTCTTTAGAAGTTTGGTATAAAAAAAATCATATTTTCATTTAAAAAAAAGTTTTAAAAAGCCTCAGGAGATTTTCTTAATTCTTTAAGTTAGAAAGAAATTAATAATAATATTTGAAGTAAAATTACAAATCAATCAAAATAATGCTACTATAAATAGTTACTTTGAGAGGGGTGGCCACAACAATTAAGGTTTAAATGATGACGGATCGAATCTCAGCAGCCCAACATACTTACAAATGGGTTTTTTTTTCTAAAAACACCGGCACCCCAGGGGTTGATACAACCTCTGCTGATGCATTGTTTTTTGGAACTTAAAATTAAAATTTTACTATTATAATTTTTTGATTTTTTTTCCACCAATTTATTGAGCAACTGATATTATTTACGATGATATTGAATAAATTTTCAGATTTTTTTAATGCAGCTGGAACTGGAGGAGAAGGACAGGCAGATGCTGAAGCTGAAGGAGGAGCTCAAAATCTCAAATGACCGGATGTCCAAATTCAACATGAATCAGGAGAAAGTCAAATACTCGAACATGGCCACTCAAACAGACAGGGTGTGTACTTTGGCTTTAACCAAACTAAGTTTGGTTTTACATCAAGTTTATGTTTCTTTAGATACGTCCAGCTTCGACAACCTTGTTCCAAAATTCGCCTGACAGTGCTAAAGCATCATTTGTAAGGTCAGTTTAGTTTTATTTTATTACTATTATCTATAAAAAAAATTATACTTATATGAAATAAAATTATAAATACATTTTTAAGGTTAAGAATATTTACAATAAAATAATGTTAAGAGTATCAATGTTTTTTATACTAAGAAATATAATTATATAAATTCCATTATGATATTATATTTATGTAAAAATATTTCTTCTCTTATTGCCTCACTCTTTGACTTCTTCAACATAATTTATGGGACTATATATGAAAAAAGTTTTCAACTTGGGAAGGTAGGTTTTCAAGATTTGATATTCGGAATATTGCTTCTTTGTGCCCTTGATTTCCTTTGCCTCCTTCATCTGTTTCCAGCCTTCGAAATCCTGATTTATCACTCTTAGCACATAAAACCACAATAGTACTTAATAATAATTAACTAATTGATAAGGAAACATGTTCTAAATGTGTATTCTCTTGTTTTTTCTTTTTCCTTTTGACCTTTTCTTTTCTTTCTGATGGTCAAACTTGGATATGAAGACATTTTGCGTAAGTATTTTTTTCAACAACAGTGTAAACTGCTTGTGTAAATTTGCAAAGATTGCATGATAATTTCAAGAAGGCACACAAAATGCTATCTATTCAAAACAAGAAACTATAATAGCTAAATTTCATTTTTGCTAAACAATTCATTTTCTTTTAATTGTTCTTTAAGCCTGTAAAATCATAATTGATGGACAACAATTGAGACAAAATATCATATTTTTCTAATCACTATTTGTGTCATTGGACCAATCATGTCTCAATTTTGATCATTTTAGCTTTATAATAGATTTGTGCACGATAATGTATATTATTACTAAAACTATAAACCTATAAGATGTTTCTTGTTTGAACAAAAATTAGCAGTGAAGCACAAAATCCATAAATTATTGCTTATTTAGCCACCCTGGCATTTTTTACTGTTTCACTGTACAAATTAACCACACAATATCATTTTGCAGTTTGAAAATATAGTTCAGCTTCTTTCAAGAATAATGGATACATTTTAAAAATGATATCTGTGAGATATAAAAACAAGGAATAAGAACTATCTAAGCTTTTTAAAATCATTTATTTTATTTTCAAAATATAGTATTTATTTTAAAATAAAAAGTTTAGTTGTTTCAAAATAATACTTTTATTAACTATGTTTTGAAGGTACAAATTCTTTCTGCATTCTACCCATGATTAATTTATTATCTAATATATAAAAAAAATAGTGCATTATCTATTATATCATTCTATTAATGACATAGAGATATATAGTAATTACAGCTTATTTTTAGATATATGTATAAATTTGGATTAATAAACCATTTAAATTGATGTATTTTTGGTTTGGTTTGGTTTAGTATGAATGATACCCAGGATGAAATACAGAAGCACCGTCCAACTAGCGGAGGACATGAGAATGAAGGAGTAGTTGATCTGATCAAAACCCAATACACTAGAACTTCTCCAGAACATCATCATAACAATCGCCCTTCATCCAAACAATATAGTTACAGAATATCATGAAAGGGACAACTTTGTTTTTCAAGTCTTTTTTTCTGTTTTGTTTTAAAGATGTAAATAGAAATCTAGTCTTTTTTTATTTATTTGATGAAATAGTTAATGTAAATAGTTATATTAAAGTTGTTATATTATAAAAATAGAAATTGCTGTTAATTGACTGTACTTATTTTTGTATCAAATTAGGCACAAAGTTAAACTTAAACCCTAACCAAATTATAGTTAAAATCTTTTAGCACAATTATTGTTCCAAAAATGAGAAACAAACTTGCACAAGGAGTTATGAGGTGCAAAAATGTCATATCTGGAAAGAAAATTGTGTTTAAAACACTTCTTTCAATTATTTATTAATATAATAAATTCTCCAATTGTTATTTTTTGTTTTGTAACGTAAATTACCAACCTAACAGTACTATTCAGCTCTCACAGTATAATGTGTAAGAGAAAGAAGGTAATTCATTTACAGCGAGTGTAAAACAATAATAAATTAGATTAATAAAAAAAATGGCCAGATAAAATGGGAAATAAATTCTATAGAAAGTCATGCCTCAAGTTTTAGATTTCATTAACGACAAAATTAACAAAACAAAATTGACACCTTTTGATCTTCTTGTGCCAGTTAAAACAAAGCTTTTGTTATGTATATGGAAAATTAAGGATGCATACTTATAATAAATACCTTCAAAAAGTTGGTAACAAACTTTAAACATATTATATACGTCATATTTCTACAATGTGTGTTTTTCTGTATATATTAATTTACATGTTTAATGAATCAATTAGATGAAATAAAGAAAGACTGTGAAATTACTTTAAACATTCAAAGCTTTTCTAAGTTTAACCAAAGAACAGTAACTACAAATAGCCCTGATGTTTATGTAATTTATTAATAGAAAATGTTTTATGTGTTGATGAATGTGTGTAACATAATGCATGTATAGGTTTATTAAAGTTGTGTTACATCCCTATTCAGAGTTTATCGTGTAAAAGACATAATCAAATGAATTGTTTTCCTATATTTATTTGTGATATTTTTTAAATTTATTTAAGAAGCCTCTTTTATTAACTGTGGCTATAAAATTGATTAGAAAAAAAATATACATAAACTACTTCTGGTGGAGAAAAATCTTCCAGCTACATTTTTCCACCAGTCATATGACTGTAATATTTAGAAAGATAATATTTAATGTGAGAAGATATACAATTATTTTGTTATTTTGTAGTAGCTTAGAAATAATATAGTTACAAACTTTTTATTGAGTTTTATTTATTTCTTATGTAATGGTTGGAGAATAATAAACAATTTAGATCTAATGTTCACTTCTTTTTTTATCAATGCCTGAATTTATCAGTTGTACCCCGTTTGAAATCCAATCATCTAAAATAACATTAGTTTTACACACACAGAGGACATGAATAGAGAAATTTGGAGATAAAGATTTCTGCTATGTAAACCTGCATAGTTTTGCTTAAATAAATATTTTTCATCTTTAATTAAAAAATTATAAATTATTACAAAGGATTGGTTATGTTGTTTTAGTAACATTGATTTGCCAATTCAACAAAATGTTTTTCGTTTTAATTATTTAAAAGTAGTAGTAAAAAATATTTGAGAAAAATATCTGTTAATAATTTATTTTTTATCCAGCTTGGTTATAATATTTAGATTTGGTTTAAAATTGTTTTAATGTTTATATTGTAATGTTTTCATGTCTGGTAAGTGACCTCTTCGATATTTAATTATATCATTAACAATGTTAATCCACTTGGGATCTTTTATATTGTAATCTACATTGTTTTCTGCATCACTGTCCGTTATTATTGATTTCACCTTTATCATATTACCAATATCACTGTTCACTATGACCAGAGTATCATTTTTTGCTATTCTTTCTAAATTGACTTTATTAACATCTTCTTTTTTTGTAAAGATTAAATTCATATTGCCAGTTGCCCACCTTTTAAGTAGATATAAAAGTTTCTCTTCTTGTTCTTTTTCCATTGGATCTGTGTCACTTACTGTCGATGGGTTGTGTTTTATTATTCCTTTCTGTTCTTCATCCAAGTGCATGTAGTACAGTAGATCTGTAGTTTCTTTTTTTCCTTCTCTATATTTACCAACTTTCCTTTTGATTAAAATTTTGTCATTTATCTTTTCTGCCTCCAATTTTATTACTTTTTTTGTTTTACGTTTCTTATACGGTTTTGTTTTATTTTGTAATCTATTATTATCATTATGTAAAATTGATCCATTATTATTGTTGGGCGAATGTTTATACTTTTTAACTGCTCTATTCAACAGTTCAGATAATGTATCAGAAATTATTTTTGTGCCTATTTCTTCATTAGAATAATCGATAAAAGAATCACTTCTTTCCATATTGAAATCATTTTTGTTTTCTGAATTCCAATTGTAAGGTTCATTATTGCATTCTTTATCCTCCTCTTCAGTAGGAGGTGGATGTCTTCTTTTATGACCCCTGACTATTTTTTTATCATTTCTTGCATCATTGCTTGAAATATTTACTATACTTTGACTAGGGAAATTTGAATCTGGAATTACATCGTAATCAATAACTTCAAGACGGCTTCTTCCATCAATTAATACATCTTTTTCAGGACCTCCTACAACCATTTCCCCAATATCGATAACACGGTTGTTGTTAGATGCAGCATGGCCATCTGATTCATTTAACACAAATATGGTATTCATATTGTTAAGTGTGTTCATCTTCGCACTGCTCTTTTTTCTTTGCAAATGGTGAACTACATCATGGCTGATATGCTTTGGCAATTCATTTGAATCTTGAGAATATTGTGGAATCAATTGTGGAAAGTCAGTTTGTAAGTTCTGATCTTTTTTATCTTTATGTTCAATCACACTGCTATCCCAGGACAACTTCCTATTGTCCTTATTCACAATATTATGACTAATTTTATTTTTCTCTTTGAAGGCAGTTTTTTTCCCTCTTTGCGATGTATAAATGCCATTATCTGAAATATTTTTAAATTTTAATGTTTCTTCTTTTAACTTATTAATTTGTTTAACCATTTGTTTGTCGGCTATGGGCTTCTGTATGTTTTTTCGTCCTTTCACATTGTGAACTTGCACTCCTGCAATTTTATCTGATGTTATTTCATCATAACCAATCAGTGCTTTATCACTTTTTATTTTTAGAGGTGTTTCCAAAGGCCTTTTGTATCGAGGCTTTTCATAGCTGTTTTTCATATCCTGTCTTTTTTGAAATTGTTTTTCATATAACGTGCTCATAATGTCAGTGCCCATAACTGGTGATTTTAAATGTTGATAATTTTTTTTAAAAGATTGCCGCATTTGACTGTTGAGATTAAATTTCAAATCGTTATTTTCTCTTTTTTTGTTTAAAGAAAAGAGAGCATTGAAAACTGAAAAAATATTTGACTTTTTTCCTTTGGGTTTCTCTTTTTTTAAACTATCCTTGATCGATGATTCAAAAAGACTTGTGCCCTTATAATCATTCCTCTTTGGCAACTGACTTTTCATGAAACTTATCTTTTCTGATTCACTTATTGCAGAATCTCGTGTGCTATCAATTGTTGGCCTATATTTAGTTATTATTTTATTATTCTTGACTATCAAAACTGGTCTGTAAGGTACTCTTCTCTCTTGACTACTTCTTGTCTTGTCATTTGTGCTTCTAGAAGTATTTTTATGAGATTGTGAGGGCAAAGTTTTCAATTTATGTTTTATTACTTTATCTTTTCCACTTGAAAAATTAGCTTTTCTTGGCTTTATTAATTTTCCTTCTTTAGTAGAAAAATTATTTGATACTGGTATCACACCTCGTTTTGCATAATTTCTCCTCACAGATGGTTTTTGTATTATCTCTGGATAGACCCATTGTATTCTATTGTATATTTTTTTCATTTCCCATGATTTATCTGGATCTGCATTTGGTAAACACAAATCCAATAAATTTGACTTTTTTGTATCGATGAGTGGATCATCATTGACTATTTTAACATTCTCAACGATGATTTCATTAAAATTGTACCCTTGTGAATGGAGAGATTCTTGTTCCTTTAACCAGTGTGCCATCCTGTCACATTTTGCGTTATTATTATTATTATTATTAGCCTTTTCAAAATTTCTTTTTATTATTCTCCCTCTGTTACTGACAAGATGAGGTTTGTATTTAAACAATAAAGCACGATTTCTGAACAAAGAATATCCCGCATTCGGTGGGACAGACTCAAATTTACCTACATCCATGGTTTCGGTGGTTTTAATAAATTACTCATTCTATATTTTCACTTTGCCCTTTCCATTCTGTAATGAAATAACAGAAGTCAAAGTACCAATACTTACTTTACACTTCTGAATTTCCTTCCTTTTTTTATACATGATTTTCTTTCTTTTTCTTTCCGACATGCCTTGTCAATCAATACGTAAAATAATTTTTGGCAAAAAATACATTTCCTTATTTTTTATTCTTCTACAATTTGTTAAGTGATTTTTTTAGATGTATGGAAAAAAGTAAATTTAACCTGGTCATTCTTTCCTCTAAACTTGTCATTTAGTTAGTCGCAATGTAGTTTTTTCTTTACATAGTTGGATTGATTTTTAAACATAACGTATTTTCTCTTTGGAAGTATGAAAAATATTACCACAAAACATCATTGGAAGGATATTTTTCAATTTTGTTCATTCTCAAAACATGATTACTGTTATAAAGTGCAAAATTAAAGAATTGTTAAATGGTATGAAACATATGTATAAAAATGCTAACAAATTGTATATTTTGTTCTATTTATAATTCTTAATGTTATTCCCTTATTTCAAAGTGTAAATGTAACAGAAGATTTTTGACAAGAAAATAAAATTATGGGCATATGTGTGTCTTGGAATTTGTTTGCGTGTAAAAAGGTTTCCTTCTTATTCTACTTGTAAGGTACAACAACTACCAGCTTAAAATGTAATGTTTTAATAAAACAATGTAGCTACGCTTGCGCTTTTGTTCAATTTAGTTGAAATGGTTGGAAGACTGATAGACCAAAGGTCAGAGTTTTTTTGTAATATATTAGAATCCGATTTTTTAAAAGTATCTAGCCGAATTATATTTTCATTGTGTTGACGGCCTAGAAGTTGATCAAAGAGATTATTTCTATCTCTTACTTTCCGTTCTTCTTGAAGAGTGAACAAAAGATTGAATACAGTTATTTCCCATTCTTCATATTCTTTTTGCTCAAGTTCTTCTTTAGAAAGTTCAACCTTTTTGATTGACAAGACTGACTTTCTTTTTCCTGCAGAAATTGAGATGCGTCTTGATATGTTTGATTGCTTTGATTTTAATATTGTTGCACTTAAGTTTTTCTTTGGTTTTTTTCTTGAATGCTTCTGTTCTTTTGTAGGTTGAGTCTTATGCTTGATAGAAATAATTTTTTTTACCGACCTTGGATCGTGTATAAAACCTCTGCCACCTTCATTGAAATAAGTGAAGGATTTTCCCACTTTCCTTGCTTCCTGTGATTTTTCTTCTTTTTTTTTAATTTTTCCTGGCATTACTATATTTTTGTTCCCCCAACTATTTTGATTGTTCCCATTTTTCCATTATATATCCTCTCTGCACTTCTTTGATAACTCTCTTTGTACTGAGTTTGAACATCAAAGCAAATGAATATTTGCTCATTTTGCAGTTCGTAATTCACAATATTCGGAAGCACCAGCATCTTTCTTTCACGAGTCCTTTTTTTATCTGTGCAAGAGAGGCAAAGATGGGAGCTTTTTTCTCTTTTTTCTTCCCATTAAATCACCAGAGCTAGAAGCTAATGAAAAAAAAGGGAAAAAAGAGTAGCCTTTCAGTCCAACCCATTGCTCTTGCTTTTCCTGTTTTAAAAATCACTACATCTTGAACTAAAAAGTATCCTAATAATTGTTATGTTATGTCCATTTTTGTGATGTAAAACTATTTTTTTCTGTTTATCTTTAAAATCAGATGATATTCAGGATTGTTTATTAACATTTCTTACTATCTTACAAAATACAAAATAACAGAATAAGCATGTTATGCAGATCTTTCAGCGTAACGATGAACGTTTAAATACATGAAATCTGGATAACTGCCAAAAATCTATTGAATTCTCTACTAATACTAACTCCATCATATCCATACTTTTTGAACCAAGTAAGTAATGTGAATTCAAGAAGTGAATTCATGCCACAATTTAATAAATTAAAAAATAATGTAAAATAAGTTTTCTACAAATAAATAGAGTGTACACAGTATTGTATGATATTTATATGAAATATACATGTTCCTTTTTTTCTAACTGGCTTTGTTAAAGAAATGAGATTTTTTAATATAAATACTAGTTTGTACAATTTGAAATCTAAACGTGCAATAAAATGTAAACACTTTAGAAATTTAATAATAGAATTATCAATACGAAAGTGCATAATATATTGCTTTATTTTGTAAACTATGATAAAAACATAATGGGAAGGTCGGTTTGAGAATTCGACATCCATAACTTAACTATTTTTCATTGCTGTAAATTTAATTTTAAATTAAAAAATAATTAAATGTATCCAGTAGAGCAAATTTTATTCTGATTACAAATTGTTGTCAAGAACGTGTACCTTATAATGAAGAACAGTAATTCATGCTATAAATAAATACTTTTTGAACTTTATAATTGTATATATTACAAATATTTGTTTAAAACATAACCAGATCACATGACTTTCCTCTTGCTTTCAAAGATTTTATAAAATTCCACAATGGGTATTTAATACATACAAAACTTCACTTCCTAGGTTTCATGGGATCAGAATTTTACATTTTCACAGTGTGGATTAATTTCTAGCATGACTCTCCATATGACCAGTTTGTAAGTTCTGATCTACTATACATAAATGTTGTTTCTTGGTTTTATTTTCTTAATGAAGAGGACAAGAAAAAAGAAAAAAAGTTGTTTAACTTCAATGAAAGGTATAAAATAAAATTTATGTAATTAAAGCCATATGGCTGAATAATAACAGCCAACAATGTTCATTTCCAAGAATTGTCAAAAAATGTGTTACAAGATTGATACAAATAACTAAATTTTGCATTTCTACTGCATCAGTTATTGTTTGACATTTATTGATAGATCATCTATGTAAACATTAAGAAGTTTACCTATTAATAAAATAATTAAAATATGAAAGGTTTAAAAAAAACGAAAAATGAACATAAATTGAAAGAAAACACAAAGGAGCGGGAATTATCAAAAGAATTATTTTTTGTTAAAAGTAGCTATAAATATTTTAAGAGAAATGATCCAGCATCGACTTCACGTGTTATGTTTCTATCCAATGGGAATAAAAGTAAACATCCAAGAAAAATACACTTTTTAGCCAAAAAGAGTAGATCTTCAATGATTAGACATACATTTCCATGGAGTAAGCAATATTCAGACAAATGTCTCTCTTACAGGTGCTATGCTTGTTGTAAGGAAGCACTTAAATCTATTCATTCTTTGAAAAAAAGGCAAAAACATACAGAGAAAACACATAAAGATTTTTCAACTCCGTCATTAGCCAAACGCCATAGAAGACGCTACAATAAAAAAAAACGAAGTGGTCCTAAAAAGATAATAGAAAAAAGTATTTCAGATATTAATCAACGAAAATCAATTGATTTCGCTACAAGAAACAAATCATTTTCTTTTTCGCCATATTTAAATATTAGACAGTCGATAAGCATCCCTAAACCTATATTCCTAACAAATGAAGAGAAACATGCACTCCTAGTAAATTTACTGGAAAAACAAGAAAAAGAAACTAAAATAAGGGAATCCCAACGTTTACGTACCCATCTTAAACATAAAGCACATATTCAAATAGAACTAAGAAAAAAGCGCTTTCAAGAAAATCTGATTTCAGCTACAACACATCGTGCATCATCTAGACATTCCTTAATTCCTTTTGCCAGGGAAGCCTTTTTAAATGATAAACATGCTCTTTATAAAGGGTGATTTGTTTTATGAATTATGCCCACCATGAAAAAAAAGTTAAATAAAATTCGGCAAAAATTGATGTAAGTCTCATTGTTATCACTAAGATTAATAAGTGAATTGTTTTGGCCATTTTTCTGAAGTAATTTAACATTTTGATTATAAAAGATGTTTGTTGCATAATTTAATAATTTATGTTATAAAAGATTGTAACATGAATATACTGTATATATTGATTTTTTTAGTTTATAAGACGCAAAATTAAAGAGATGCAATTTCATTAATTTTGTAAAGTTTTTTGTTCATTTGGTAAGACACCGTACAAGTCATTTAAAAAATACTGAATTTCATGTCTTAAGCAGAAGCAATTTTCTGTAACTCTCTTTATAAATATAAATATATTTGGTTTATTCTTCAAATTAATTTTAGATCTAAAATAATATCAATAATATTTTCATTAATGTCAGTTCTGGTAAGTTTGGTAATTGGATTAATATCTTTTTATTTGAACCATCACCTAAAGGTTTACATCAGGATGATGGCTTTATCATGACGGGCTCTGTCAGTGCTCCACCACCCTGGCAAGATTTATCTTCTTTTTCATCTTCAGCACAACCTAAATGAATGAACACGACATAACCGACAGTCTTTAACTAAACATTCTACTAATAATATTGTTTGGCTCCCATGACCATCCCTATTATCCATATCTACTTGAGTCATTTGCTATATTCAAAGAAAGTATGATTGGCACCTTTTTTCCAATTGACACTTCTTTATTTTTATGCCCCAGAAAGTGCATACCTTTGTCGTTTCCCCAAACTCCATGGTTAAGGTAATACACAGCTGCCTGCAAAACAGAACATTTATGGTAATCTCACATGAACTTGTCCAGCCACTGTATAATGTTGATGCTGGGGTCTCACAATAATCATAAACGATTTTTCCCTCTTGGTTGTACTGATTGTCCCCTTTTACACTTAACCTTTCATCTGATAGGTCCAAGCTTTGCTAATTGTATTCTTGGAAGATTTCTGTTTATTAAATAGAGTGTAGAAATCTTCTCAAGAGTATGGTACTGAAGTTCATTGCTTAAAATTGGCTTTCCTTGGTAGCATTGCCTTAACTACTGCTAGATAGTCGCAACATTATAGTATATGTTCTGTTGTCTCTGCCTTCCCTAGTTGACAGGCCTCCTGTGAATACCGAAATTGTGTTTGACTGAAGCATATCCCATAAATATGCCTGTTAGATTTGTAGTTTCTTCCTGCTGCTTAGACCCCCCCCCCCATTACACTTTGAGATTGTTTTTAGCATGTGTTTTCTTGTCTCGTCTGGCATGTGTATATAATGTCTGTTATGTTATACAAAAAAAAGTTAATTGAGCCTATGTACATTTTTTTAAACTATGGTGCTAGCTGCCTTTGTTACCTGAAATTCCCTTATGACCTGGATTTTACTGAAGCTGCCTGTTAGATTTGTAGTTCCTTCCTGTTGCTTAGACCCCCCCCCCCGTAACCCTTCAGTGTTGTTTTTAGTGAGTAGTTTTGTTTTTTTCTTGTCTCAAGTCTGGCATGTGTATATAATGTCTGTTATGTTATACTAAAAAAGATAATTCAGCCTATGTACATTTTTTAAATTAGGGTGCTAGCTGCCTTTGTTACCTGAAATTCCCTCATGACCTGGATTTTACTAAAGCTGCCTGTTAGATTTGTAGTTCCTTCCTGTTGCTTAGACCCCCCCAGTTACCTTTTGAGGTTGTTTTTAGTGAGTAGTTTTGTTTTTTTCTTATCTCAAGTCTGGCATGTGTATATAATGTCTGTTATGTTATACTAAAAAAGATAATTCAGCCTATGTATATTTTTTTTAAACTAGTTACCTGAAATTCCCTCATGACCTGGTACTCAAGTAACGTTTGTAGATTCAGTTTTTTAGGGTGTTTAGGTAGTTCCAACTTCCAGGCCTGATAGATTTGAAGAGCTTTTAGAGCTATCTGACTATCTGGTAGTAATTTCGCTACCTTGACCCTTGTAGTGATTGTTATTAATATCAACAGAGATACTTAGGTTAAGCAAAAAACAAAATTAAGCAGTACTGAGTATATTTTGTGGGACAAAGTGCGTTATTTTTAGTTTAACATTGATCACATTTATGATGGTTGCTGAGCAGGGAAAATTTAATTGTGTAGAGGGAATGCCAGCTTGGTGCTGAGAAAACTACAAAAACATGCAACCTTCGCCGGCTCTTTGACAAACCTGAATTTAAATAATTTCACAGACGGCAGTAATATTCTATAATTTGCTTTGTCAGAGAGTCACTATTGCTACGAGCAGACGTTATGTCCATGGTCTCATGGTCAGTTTTATTTGTTATGACATCGACACAATTTGGCGATAGTTGAAATTATGCTGTGAGGGCCAAAACATATCAATGTAGAAAATGACGGCTGAAGAGGTCTGTATTTTTAAAAACAAATATTTTCTTTTTCTGTTTCTTATTTTAACTTTAGTGCAATTTTTGTATATATTTTTGTACTTTTACATACGTACTTTGATAATTTATCAATTTTGTCATAGCCACAGTAAATCTATATTCATAGGATTGTATTTGTGTAAAGATTTCTTTCTGTATTTATATTTAAAATATTGCTTACAAAAAAAAAATAAGTTAAACAATATTCACTAAGGGACAACAATGACTCCAGGTCGCCTAATATTCAGCAAGTTTTCATTCATATTTCTTATCATTGATGATTAAAATTTTTCTTATAACAAATAATAAACCCTTTGTTTTCAAAACTCTCAGTCATAAGCACATTTGTTTATTAAATTGTGATATTTCTCTATGGGGTCTGCAGGATAAAGAATATAGTTCGATCATTTTGGTCTGCCTATACTTTAGTACTGCTTACTATAATTCGTTCTGTCCAATGAATTTTAGTGCTGACTAAGTCAAATTGCTGGAAAGTTAAGAAACCGACATTCAGAAACGTTTTGGATGTTAACATTTCCTCATAACACAGGGAACGAAATATTTTATAAAATAAATAACTTAAAATTGAAGAGTAAACTTTATTTTGGGAATTGACTCGAATAATTAAATATGAATACAACATACTTACAGAGAATCAAGCCTGAAAAGGTTATACAAAGATGCCTATTTACAAATTTATTTTACATTTATTCATTATAAAATTTCCACTAGGGGGAGTGTAGACCAAGTGGTCATTATGATAGATTCTCGGCCTTAGACCCTGTGGTCATGGGTTCAATTCCTACCGTTGCCCGTGGCCCTTTTTTCCACACAACCCTTACCCCCGAAAAAGAATGCACATGGCATATGAGAATTTCCTTGGCTAATTTGCAAAGTTCATTAGGCCGTTGCTAGTAGTCTACTGTGGAAATTAAACTAAAAGGCTATTAAAAATCATTGGTACCAAGTTTTAATGACAAAAGGTAATCAAAGAAGTATGACAGTTAATACAGTTCTGTATTTAAGGAAGATGAAAGGGTCAGAAAGGCAGGAGGGAGTTTGACGGAAGTGTAAAGAGGATCTGAAGGTCAGGGGATCATTTTAGGATGGGATTATGAGAATATCGTCTGATAGAGGAAGAAGCCAAGGAAATATTCCTTGCGGTATAACTGGTTTAAGTCAGTGATCAGTTACATGAGACTTCCTTGGGGGGGGGGGGCTGAAGATATAACTTACAAAATATTCATTGGATGTTTAAGCTTATCTTTAAGCTCCCAAATGAGTCTCCCAACCCTAATCAAGTTGAGGGAGGTAAGGGAGGGAACTAAGAGTCTACTAAATTGCAAACAAACAAAAGGTAGCGGGTATAACGTAACTGATTTGGTAGATATCGGTTTCTAGAAAAAAGTCTGATCATGGGTAATCACAAGGTTCTTTTTGGCAGAAGAGGGAAATAGGCTGATTGCTAATTGTAAACAGAGTTATAGGAAGTATGAAATTTAGGAGAGAATTGGTTCCAAATATAATGGTCTGGGACTTTTATACATTTTTTATTTTATTTTGTTAATATTTTTAAATTTTCCAACTGCATACAAAATGCAACAAGCAAAAATGATTTTTTATTTATTTATTTTTTTTTTATTTATTTATTTATTTTTTTTTTTTTGTACGAGGGTATTTCAACTATGAGGTTATATGAACCCTTGGAGTGCCAGTGTTTTTGAAAAAAGCCCATTTGTAAGTATCTCGGGTTTGAACACAGGGCGCAGTATTTGAACTCAGGACCTTTGCCTTATAGTGATGAGCACCACGAAATTTATTGCACCTGGGCTGGGCCAGGTTTAGGATGTAGGGTATGGAGATGGGAGTGGATGGTATGAATGGTGACGGAGAAAACTTCATCAGTTATTTTGCAAAGGATTTTGGATTTTGTTAAGATTGGAATGCTTGGCTGTCATACATAGTTTTAAGTCCAAAAGTCCATCCCTAACCTTCTACATTCAAGTTAATCTCATTTTCAGCAGCCCAAAAGCTAATACAGTTTAATGCTTCTTTCAGAAGAAGCAGTTTGGTTGATTCAACTAAATTGCCCACTTTCAAACCCCATGGGTCAATTTTGGACCCCACACTTATTTTCAATTTTCGTCAACACCCTGTCCAAACCTGTCATTTAGAATTATATACAGATCACATCATACTGTACTGCTCTTCTTGGAGAATCAGTGGTATCTCTGGCAGATTCAATGACAAGCTCATATGAGTAATGCCCTACTACATCCATGGAAATTGAAAATCAACATCTCAAAAACCAGCTGCATCCTCTTCACAAATATGAATATAAAATGGACTTCGGCCATTTTAAAACTATAGTGGGCAAAAGCAAAGCTGCCATCAGAATCCTTTTCGGCTACTTAGGGGAGTGTCAACAACAAACTCTTGGTTTACAATATGGCTGTTAAACCTATTTACTGTCCCAGTTATACTTGTAAGACAAACTTAAACAAACTCTAGGGGGCTGCGGTAGCCGAGTGGTTAAGGCGTCAGACTCTCGGCTAGTAGATCCTGCGGTTGTGGGTTTGATCCCCACCGTCATCTCTGGACTTTTCTGACGCCTAAGGTGGCCGCAATTGAAAGAAATTGACATGGCACTCATCAATGGAAAGGGCGGGATCGGATCTCAGCGACCCTGAATTTGGTCCCAACTCCCTTCAAAAATGAGTTTCTTCGATGGAAGAACACTGGTACAATGGGGGCTCAAGTTCACATTTGTGTTGCGAGCCCCCCCCCAAAAAAAATATGGAGCCAGGGATAAAGTACAATAAGCTGTACAGCTCAGGAGCAGTGGTCAGGAAGGAACTCCTCCAGTCCCTGGTAGATATTGTAAAAAAAAAAAAATTCCAGGTGGATCAGGACAAATTCTTGCGCCTTGCCACTAGGTCCAGTAGAAGTTTAAAAATGACCATGTTGCTTGAGATGATGAACGCTTCCTGGATTGGTGAAGAATTGCATGGGACGGCAATACTAATATTACTTAATATAAGTAATGCTAATATTACTTATATTAATATTACTATATAATTTAATTATTGAGTTAATTTACTATTTATTTATGCATATATAGTTATTTTATTGATACAGATGCCCTTGTTTATCTATTCATAATATTGTATATATACTTTTTTATGTATTTATAGTTTAGGACTTGGTTAAATTCCTGAGCATAATATAAATAATTTTTGCCCACAATCTCTAATATTAATCTACTACCCTGCCCAAGGATGTTTTACTGACCCAGAGCACTTTCCTTGTTAAAATTATTTTGTTTTTCTCAGTTGTCAAATGCAAATTGGTTTTGCAAAATAAATTTATCTATCTATTAACCAAATTCCCTGTTGGTTCTCAACTAGGTTGACTGCCATGTAAGAATACTTTCTTGGCTCGTTTCACACCAGGCAACTTGTGGAATCAACTTCTCTTCCCAAATAGGAGGTCACTATAATGCCAGAACCCGAGGAAGCAGTTACACTTCTTGTAGTACACTGGGGTTTGGTTTTGGGCCTATCTTTATTTCTTTATCTTAGAATTTATAGAAAGTTTGCTAGTCAGTTGTAGTGCTAAATAGTACCAAAGATCAGTGCTTATTTTGCCTGTAGGATATTTGTTCAAGTTGTCTATTTTAATATTGTAAACTATTAGGCGTATTTAGCCGAAGGTCGTGGATTCGAATCCCGCTTTTGACGTTGACTTTTTTATCTCAACCAAAACCTTAATTAATTGAAAATTGTAAACTATTTGATTTTATCGGTTACTCCGATACTGCAGATTATAGGAGTTCCATTCGGTACAAATTAAGTTAATTTAGCTTTTTCTTTTACAAAATGCTTTATAATTAATGGTCTACAATGAAAATCTGTTAATGATGTAAGAAGGCAAGAAAATGTGTAAGTATATGTAATGGTATTTTGGGCATTTATAACCATCACTTCTTAGTCTAGTTTTTAAAAATTAAATTTCTTTATGGGGGTTTGCAAGGAAAGAGGGCATATTAACACAGCGGGGGAGCTTATTTATAAGTACGTTGGGTTCAAATTTCAGCTGCCCTGAATAAATAAACCAGGGCCCCTTAACATGATGAGTCACCATGTCAACGCCTTAACCATTGCAACCACCGGCACCTTATTAAAGTCAAGTTTAGCCCAGAAAATATATGCTATTTATGGGATTGGACGATCATACACATAAAATGTCGAAATTAATGAACAAAAATATTGTGAACTTATTCATTTCTCAAACTCATTTTAACTTTAGAAAAGTTTTATACTTTCATTGCTTTTTCTAATGTATTATTTAATTGTTTCTCAGGTACAGACCCTAAAGGAAAAAGGAAATGCCTGCATGAAAGAAAATAAGTATGCTGAGGCAATACTGCATTATACCCAAGGGATCGTGCTTGATCCCAAAAACTACATACTATTTAGCAATAGATCGTTTGCTTTTTTAAAATTGAGCCAATTTTACCATGCGTACGAAGACGCAATTGAAACAATTCGCCTTAACCCTTTATGGGCAAAAGTAAGCTTAATTGATGAGGCTGGGGTATAAAACTGATGCAAAAAAAGCTTTTGTTAGCTTTATATAAATAAATGTTAATTAAACATTGGACTCTCCTTTTTAGGGGTATTTTCGAAAAGGTGAAGTTGAGGCTGCAACATTTCAATATGAAGATGCTTTGTTAAATTATAAATGTGCATTAGAGCATCAGCCTGGTGACGCTGTTATCACCGAGGCGATGAAACGAGTCACCACTCAAATAAATAAAGACAAAAGAGGTAGATAAAATCTTCTCAATTTGTAAACATATTTAAATAAAGATCTGTTTCAGCTAATGAACAGGTACCTTGGCTGGGAGCTGGTGTAGGTATTATTATAGGTGTCATTATTGTAATTGCTGATCAGCTATTTACAAACACACCTTCAATATCGGTAAGAAATTTAAATATTGTATTTAAATTATTGAAATATTACATTAATTTTTTGCGTTCATAGCACCCGATTGTAATGGCCATTTTAACTATCTCAATAGCTGTGATTGGATTTGGTTTAGCAAAAGGATATAGGTATTATGTTGAGTGTTGTAGAAAAGGACTTTTGGATCCTCCACCTGATCTGCTTAAAGGTTGGTCTGCATTCGCTTTGCCAATTTGTTCTATTTACATTGTTTGCTTTTGGTATTTTGTTTAGAAATGAATGCGAAACAAGAGAACGGTGTCAGCGGAGAAAAATCTGGTCATCAAAGGTATTCAAAGGCCCAGGCCAGGCTTAAACTTAGAAAAGGAAGAACTTCATAATATTCTTTATAATAAAAATAATATTTTGATGTATAAAAATATATTTGATATCGTATAATATTTGAAGTTAACTATAAACTTAAATAAATAATTGTTAAAGCATGACTTGTTTTAATCTTACCTTCTTTTGCCTGTACAGAACCATTTAAATAGTCTCATCTCAAGATCAAGATATGATTAGTCTTGATTTTGTGTATTGTTTTACCTCATTTTTTGGTCTGGCTCCTCTTCAGTTCTTGTAAGAAAGAAGAACTAACTATTTCTTAGTGGTTGTCAATTTACCTCCAATTTTTGAATGTTACCATCTTGAGCTAAAAACCATAAAAATGATTTTTAATTAGAGCCTACCCACAAAACAGGATGTAAAGTGGAAGTAAATTGATGATGGCCATAGAGAAATAGTTGTTTCATCTTCCCTACAATATATGATTAATCTGTGAAAGAATTTCAATTTTCCTCGGATTAAATTTGACGTTTTTAATTTCAATTGTCATTTCTGCAATTTTTCAAAGAAGTATAATTACTAAAGAATTTTAAAGGAACAGGTTGAAAAACAAAAAAACATTTTACATTAGGAAAGAAGGCTTTGCCTCAGGTATTTACTTTTGTTCTTCAACAAATAGAGTTATTAAAAAGCTAACACAAAAATATATAAACATCTAAGTTCAAGTTCAATATTTCTGGTTTACCATATAATTTTCATTATTAAAAAATAAGTAGTGTCAATTTTAAAATTTAAGTGATTGTTGATGGATATATCTGATTTATCTGTAGAGATAAATCTTACAAGTGAAACACGAGTGCTGAGATAAAAGTTCCATTTTCAGGTTGTTTTTTTGAAAAATTTGTTTTTAATATTGCTTTTAATATATTTTTTTTATCCTCATCTAATACATGGGTTACTTAATAAATTATCTAATATTAATTTATATTCTATAACTATGAATTACAAAAATGACAGAAAGTAAAAAAAAGTAAAATGTTGACATTGATTTGTTTTTGAAACTTGAACATCAGCACCCATTTTTACAAATTGCTTCTCAGTTTTTAAATCGATTTAATGATAAATATCTTGATAAAGATTATCAAGTAATTTACAATTTTGATTTTCATAACATTGACGGAAATATATTCACAACCATAATGATGATTCTTCTACTAACTCTTGATATTTATGTAATTCAATGTTAGCACCTCTTAGTATTTTACTAGGCTAATAATTTTTTTCAGTTATATTATATTATTATTTTTTTTTTACAAAATAAACAACTGGTCATAAGTAACATCTATACAAACATGTGTAATAAGATAAGTATTTATGTACAAAATAATGAAAGACGATAGCAAATACTGCAGATAATTATTCAATTGTAACTAATAGTTTAAACTGTATAAGCTTTGAACATTTATTTCAATCACAATAGGTTGTACAATATTTGTCTACAGGGTGTAACACCAACAATTAAAATTAATGCATATATCATTTTAAAACACCATGTTAACTTTTACCTATTACATTTCAACCTTAAATATATATTTTTTATATATATAATTTCATATATTAATACAGAAACAATTTATATGAAAATAAATTCCATAATTTTTTATACTTTTGTACTATTAAAGCAATAAAATAGTTAACAGAAAATGATTTTTTGTTATTTTTATATTAAAAAATATGTGTCTGTACCTTCTTAATATTTGTTAAAAAACGTATTTACAATATATACAAACAGGGTAGGATTGTTTTTTTTTTACTATTTCCTAGTAAAATAAATGTACAATGAAGAAAAATAAATAGGTATCTAACAAGAAAAATACTAGTAATGTTTAACATTTACTTCTTTTAAATTTCTAACGTACTACTACTACTACTACTGCAATATTAATATTGCTACTACAACTATTGATAAACTAATTCTCAAACACACTCAACCACACACAACGAACATTTACACACATATGTTTTTAATTCAACAATTTAAAACTTTTCTACTGTTACTCTTCTTGAAGAAAAACCGTCGTAATCATTTCATGAATTATGCATACATTGAAAGTATAATTACAATACATATCCTACATTTACAAGGGGTTTAGAAAAATTTTTTCCCAACAAAATCAAACATGTGAGGATTTGACTTTTGATTTTTTTTTTTAAACTATATTCACTTTAACACCATTCGTTCTCACCAATGGTGAAGCAGAAGTACTTACAACTGTAACTTTTTGACTTAGGTCTACAGTTTTATCATTCTAACTAAATAAGAAAAAAATACGCCATTAACTTTTGAACATATATGTGTACAATAATTTTTTTGTGTGCAAATTATTAGTGATGGAGCCTAATTAATTCACTATAAATTCTGAGGTCATTTATGAGATGTTTTCTTGTGTGAGATAGAAATACTATATTTTAAAATCTCTATGCTTTCAAGTTTTGAAAGGGAATAGTTTAAAAATGAATTTAATATACTAATATTTAATATATCTGTCAATTCACAACATTAATTATGTAGGTATAATTAACAAAGTGAGATAAGTCACTCACGTATTCATTGGTTATTTAATTTTGACAGAATAACTCACTAATGAAGTTTTTTCCTATTAAACAAAAACTAATTTAAAAAAAATTAATTATAAATAGTATAAGTTGTGTATTATTTATTAATTTTTATGAAAAGAGGATTATGATGAAAAACTAGTGGCACAAGGGAGACTCGAACCTATAAAATCTGGGGTATTAATCCAAATGTGGGTTCGAGTCCTGCTCGTGACACTAATTTTTCTTCTCAACCTTCTTTGCATAAAAATTAATATTAAGACAACTAATAAGAAATGTGTATTATTATTATTATAGTTTCTTCTTGAAAGATCTATTAACTAATTGTTATCATTAATTAAATTTTTTAAAACGCATTGTATCACCCAAAAGTGGATTTATAAAGTTAAAAACATCTCTAATACTCTGAACTCACCAACTTGCATTTATTGATAAGCACAAGTCCTTGAGTAATTACTAGGTATGTGTAACAACATTTGATATACACCAGTATATGGCTGTTTAAATTATGCTTATGTACAAAGATGAATGTTTATGGAATAGTAAAATTATTTGTGAGGCTTCCACAGCCTATGACATGATATGCTTTAGTAGAGTAACCCATAGTAGTTATGATATTTTCCACGATGATATCGTTTGTGACATATGGAAGGAGTTCTTATTTCTTAAAATCTAAACACTATTAGTTTTTGTAGGAAAAATCGATAAAATATGAACAACCGAATGCGTTATTTGTGTTTGTTGTAGACTATGAGAAGTTGGTATCAAACATTTTGTACAATTAAGGTTGTTATAGTCTTAAAACTACTTATGTTTGGATAAAGAAATAATATTGGGCTCTATTAAGTAGAAATATGTTTTCAATTAACAATAGTTTTTTTTTTATTGTTTTTTTTTTAAATGGCATCACCTCATGTTTTGTATTATCTAATTCATATATGTCTAATAGTTTAATATGTTCAAAAGTTAGCTAAATCCTTATTAGTTTAATATGCATGGTTTTTAATCTTTTGCAATGTATTTTTAATGGTCATTTTTTATGTTAATCATGATTGTTTAAACATTAAACTAAAAATCAATGCAATTTTTTCAATCGATATGTTTATGATTACATTTACTAATTTCTCCAAATCTCAGCCGATTACAATCTAAATTTTTTTTATAATATATATATTTTTTAAAACGTTTTTAACGTTTTTACCCTGATTGACATTAGAAGGCATAAGAAGAAGGCATGTGCATAGTTGTAATGGACCCTAAATTAGAATTAGGAGGAATACAATTTAATTATTCCAATGTAAATAAATAGTATTAATAAAATCTCACCTATAAAAGGCATCGATAATTTTGAAAAGAATTAAAACGAAACATTTTTTACACACCAATTCCAAATAAAGAAAAAAAAATGGTTTCACTCATTAAATAAATATGCTTCACCACTGGCCTAGACATAATTTTAATTTTCTGTTATTCACAAATGTTCCTTATAATTAATAGCCATTACTGAGTTTAAGAGTTGGAGTTCTGAAATATAATACAAGTAAAATTTTCGTTTAAACATCTTTGATAAAATAATGATTGTCGCACTGAAAAATAAATAATTAAATTAAAATAATAATTATTAACAGTTTAAAACAATTATTGTTAATAGTTTATAATGTAATTAAACATCTATTAAAATTTTCTTCTAGGAAAATAGTTTCAAACTGCATTTTTTTGACATTACGCCCATAAAAAGTTATTACTTATTGGAACAAATGAATCTAGCCAACTTAATGTCAGTAATTGAGCTATACATGGAAACATTAGCAAATTTTGAAGAATACAATTCTTTCTGTCTTCCCTCATTGTCTAGTTTTGTCTCATAAGAAGCTTTTTTTTATATTGCATATTTTTGAGAATATATTTATTTGATTGTATATAAGAAGTAAATATATTTTCTGATTGTCTACAAAAGCAGTTTAATTAATAAGCTTAATATATATACTTCTGATCGATTTTACAATTTGGAAGACTAGAAGAAATTGTTAAATTATTAGTATAATTTATATTTTTGACAAATCACTTTGAAGAATACGATAATGTTCCACAGAAACCATCCTTATTAATTATGAGGTATTTTGTATATACTTCATTAAAACTTTAAGGCTTATCTTGTTGATTGTGATGAAGTTGGAAGAGTTGTTATGGTTGAGGCGCTGAGCCTAGAAGTTCTTGGTTCAATTTCCAATGACATTTGATAAAGTTCGTCGTCATCTAATAGGAGTGCAGGGTCTAGGAGATAATTTGTAACTTTTGTAATCAATTCTATTTTGTATGGGGTTTGTTGAAAACGTCTGATTTCTCTAATTACATGTGCAATCTAAAAGCACAAAAGATCAAATTTTTAACAGTTATACAACTATTTTTGTATTAACATACCATTCTCATTTTTGAAAAATTCAACAATCCGTCTTCGGTAAAGTTTGGAGTGCCTTCTTCAATGAATGAAAGATCGGTTAAATACATCCCAAGATAAGGGATGCAAGGAGGATCACACCTATGTAAGGCATCTCTAAGATTTCTAAATCTACCATCGGAAGAAACTATGGTTTGAAGCTTTTCTATAGTTTGTTTTGTCTGTAAACACAATAGAAGTATATTTTACAAATTGTTTTTTACTTATGACAATTTCATTAAAACAATCCATTAATATGCAAAAAATATAGTTTTCAGCACAATTCAGCATTATTTAAATCTAATGTTTCAGGGTAAACATTAAATATTAATTAAATAATTTTTTTATATTTATTATGAATTTATCAATGGTGATTTTAGTCACAACAAGCAAATGTGATAATTGACACAATGAAAATCTAGCATATTACACTTGATAAGAGAAACCACTCAGCAGTGATATTTCCTCATACTGAGTCAATCAATCCAAGAAACATTTTGGCCATAACTGCTTCAAACGACCTGTGGGATTTTCAGGAATTTTGGGACAAGGAAGCTGTTTTGGACAAGCTGAAGGTTTAAATTTTTGTGGTTGTTTTTGGGGTTTGATTATGTCAATTACGAATCGGATGTGGAGATCATTGTGGGTTATTTGGTTTGAAATGTAAAAAGGAGAGTTTAATATTTTTCATAGTATTTTTGATTGGATGAATTGGATTGTCGATCTATTGTCAAGTAACCTAAGGAGAAATTTGTAACATCTGTTAGTTTCTTAGCTTTTCACCCTTATATGGTGACTCTATACCCAGGTAGTGTACATTAGATTGTAGGACAAGTGAATTTTCACAGGATAACTGTGCATCAGCAAACGGCCATATAATATTGTTAGGAAGAAGAGGGATATGTATATTGTGAATAGGAAGCACCCTAGGATGCTGGGGATACACACTTTAATGGAAATATAAGAAGAAAATATAGTCCTTTGAGAGATGTGGCTGTACAAGTCTGTCAGATAAGATTTAAGTATAAAAAGGTATATGAAAGGAAGGAAGCCCTTCAGCTTCTACAATAAGCCAGTGCCATACCCGATCACACACTTAAAGGCTAGACCCCACATGACCACACCGAGCCCGCACTGCGTGATCGCCAACTGTCTGGCGTCATACGAAGAGAAATTGTCCAATGGAAGGGATATAAACTCTGGACACCAAGTAGACTCAATGAATACTGATTTTTCTAAAGCTTTCAATAAAGTATATCACACAATACTGTTAAGGAAACTAATGGATTATGGTTTCACCGGAACTATCTTGAATTGGTTATCCAGCTTTCTCTCTGACAGAAAACAAATAGTCAAAATAAAATTAAATCATGTCCCTTTGCGGCTTCCTCGGGAGTCCCGCAAGGGTCTCATCTTGGACCAGTTTTGTTTCTCTTATTTATTAATGATATCCATCTTGCTCTACAAAGAAACACTA